ACAGTGGCGGTGCTAAAACTGTTCAGAGTGACATACATGCAACCTAAGTAGGCAAAAGACAATTAACATGGATTTACAATGCTCTGCAGCTTCAGTATCACCCAATCATCCTTCTGGCTCAATTTGGCAACAGACACTCAGCCACTTTCTTCTCTCCATGCCTATCTGTCCCCCTCTGTCAAATCAACGTCTATCTTTATAGTGAGGAAAGTGAAGCAGTTATCTCCATGAACTGTCCAGATGTCAGGAATGAAAGGTTTGTTTGGGCTTCATGAGGTTTAACGAAACAATGTCCTTTTAAAATACACCAGTGAACATGAACAAAATTTAAGACCAACGTAGGCTTGATTTCAGCAACCTAAACCTCCACAACTGTGAAATTATTTCCTGCCCACTTCCCTTAAATTGTTGCAGATGACACTTGGTAATCAGAATAGATGTAGCAATCTGATTCTAAACTGATATTCCTATCTTTGGAGACACGCTGTCACAACTGTAGTACCAGCCACTGCTTGATTAGTCAAGTGACCCACTGCTTTCCTCTATCATCTGCAATCCCCTTAGAAAAGGATACTGTCAGACAGATATTTTTATCAGCTTGTCTGACAACACTAAGGTGCATCATATTCAGATTCTTTCCTTCTGCCTTCTACACAGTGCCAGGAAGTAACATTCAATGTTTCTACTCTGGCAGTGATGTTCCTTTCATAGCAATACCAACCTACATTACTCTCCCATTTCCACATAATCCTCAACAGGCCCACAATTCTTGTGCAATCTCATAGATTCTGATGCTCCATATAGGCAATAGTACTCTACTTCCACTGCAGTGGCTTATTCTAAATTTTTCAAAGCACATAACATTCAGAGTGTGGTTATGAACACACTGCTTTTGACATTTTCATGACATATTGATTATAGAAATTATATAAAGCCTTGTTGCAACACCTTCCAGTAAAACATATGGTAATGGTTTATGTTTCGTGAAGCATATTAAATTCATTTTCATTTATTTCTAAATCCATATATTTTACTTGTGGACAAGAGCTTGGTGCATAAATCTCCTCTTTAAAAAACTGGTGATGGCATGGGTAGAAATCAGCAAAAAATATATTGTTCCAAGCTCCAACAACTGAGGTATGATCAAATATCCATAACACACGTTATGTCAAATATAACATAAACAGATCTCAAGGTTTACTTATTGTAGAATGCAATATGATAACCTATTATATGATATAGAGGGCTACAGATACCCACCATTCATTAGCTTATTTATTTACATTTCTAAGATCTCTATAAAATACATTCTCTAAATCTTGTACACTTAAAACATAAAAATAATACAGTATAAAACCCAAAACAATAGGAACCACAGGCATTTCCTTGCCAAAACTGTGCACCTTAATGGTATTATCTTATAGAATTTATAGCATTTCATGTTCAAAGGAGAAGAGATAGTTTGGAGTAGGCATGAGCATACAAGCAGGACCAGCTGGCATCTCAGAAATCAAAAATATATATTCTCAGGACTGTGCTACAGCTGTGGAGCACAGCTGCATGATTCAGAAAAAAGATGCAGCTGCTTTAAGGAGTTAACAAATGTTATGAGAGCATTCCTGCATGCTCTTACATACCTTTTCTCCTTTGCATCTGTATCTTTCACTCCTTTAATCCTACAACTCCTTATCTGACAGTAAGTCCTATCAAACTTGATAGGACTTAGGTTTCAGTGAACATTTATAAGACTGGACAGAAAGGATGTAATCCAAATGCTTTTATGAATTTGATTAGTTAGTATATACTCACACATATATATGTAAAATAAATGCATACAAAAAATGCCAACAACATTAAGTTTCAGTATTATATAGTTTTTAAAATACTAAATTTTAATATTTATCATTTTTTATGTCAGCCTATTAGGACACAGTTCTCAGGAATGGAGCACTAGTTCAAGATGATTTATGTATGGGCATCCCTACTTCTATATCAAAAACAGTGGATTTTGATATAAAAGTCTGAGTTTCTAAAATTCTAAAATTTATCTTCTTCCAAATTCCAGTATCCTCAAGAGGCAGGGTAAGAGACAAATGCTTTGTTTTTTAAGTTGGTTTTGCAGCAACCAACATAAAAATAGGGTCTAACTTCAAACATACTTTGCTTTGATGTTCAAGAGACTGAGTACACTTATATCTTTTATGGCAGGCAATAAGCCCTAGTGATAGAATCCTAATGCAGTAGAACACATATTACTTCAAATTACTGAAGGGGTAAAATATTCCTGGGAGCCATTTTGGTGTAATAGTTAAGGCACCAGGCTAGAAACCAGGAGACTGTGAATTCTAGTCCTGCCTTAGGCAAAAAAACAGCTGGGTGGCCTTGGGCCAGTCACTCTCTCTCAGCCTAGGAAGGAAGCAATGGCAAACCACTTCTGAAATCTTGCCAAACAGATTTTAGTCCTTCTTTTCTTTGTTATACCAGACTTTTATTTTACACTGTTTTTAAAGGGAGCATTGAATAATGTCTTCTGACACCTAAACTTTTAGTGGAACAGCCCATTCTATCAATATCAGGATACAAAGATAAAGACTCCATCAAACTGACTTTGATTCCTGGTGATTACATGTTAATGTCTATGCATTGTTCTTGGCAGTAATATAGAAATCAGTTTGCCTTTTTTCTGGATGTTTATTTAAGTTCTCAGTCCAGTCTATAGTCCTGCATTTTCCTGGTGTCTCCTGATTCAATCCTGCATAATTTTTTTCAAGTTCAGCTAGCACTGATTAGGTGCTGCTAATAGCTGTTAGGTCAAGATGCAATACCACATATTGTCCCTTTAATCCCATTTCATTTTGCCGTAAAACAGGCCTTGGTTTATTCAGTTTCATGTTTTATAAGACACAAGAGTTTTAACAGTTAACCTGATTGTTATTCTTTTCCCAAAGTTCTCTCCACAATGACTGAAGAGCTCAGATACCTTTTACCTACAAAAGAGTTTAGAGGAGAGAGAGAGAAATGCTAAGCATGCTTATGGATATTTACTTTAGCTGGCTCACAAAGTTTAAATCTGCCTTGATTATGCTCAAATACTCTAGAGTCAGAAAACTACATTCACTTACCTTGGAGTATGTCTCCATAGTATTAAAGGCTTCATTATCACTTACATTATCTGCTAAATTTCTGGGTCTGAAACATAAGAGTGCTCTAAAAGTCTTAAGGTGTCCAATACAATTCTTGCTTTTAACTAAAATAAGTTTTTGCATTAGTTTTAACCATTGCAATTTAATTTTTTAGACATACTTCATTTTACACTTTACATTCGCTTTAAAACATGCTAAGATCTGGTGGGATACATCTCTCTTCAAAGATAATTTCCAGATAAACTGGCCTTAAAATGATCTAATAATCTCACCAGAAGCTTGAAGGCACTGCTAATATACATCACAGAAATCAGGAGAGAAAACCATTATCACTACCTCCTGTATAATGGTTTAATCAACAGAAAGCACGAACAAACCCCTCAGATTTAAAAATGTCCCTCTGGAAAGCATAATCCCTGTGGTTATAATTATTTTAAGCTCATGTCCAAGACCTGGTTTGCCCTACTCTGCCTCGTTTTGCTTTTACTACTCCCTCCGTGAAAAAGCATCAGCACCATCCTTTATCCCCCATTGCTTCCTGCAATACAGCTGTCTCAATTCTTTTATGCGGAAAAGATGACTTCAAAGAAGTAAACAAACAAACAAGCTAACCATGTCGCCGCTTTAATCAGTTGTCCCCACGGGAACCTCTTCCAATTCACCTCTGGAGCGCTTCAACTTTGAAGAAAGCAGCAGAATTTCCGTCCTACTACCTCTACCTAGGTCTGAACGGAGGCGCACTGGCGCTCCGTCCCACCTGGGACATCCCTACGCCACCTTGCACAGCAGCAGGGATGCCCCTTCAGGCCACCGCCAGGCTCTGTGCCTGCATCACTGGCGTCGGGAGGACGCGGACCAAAGTGCTCTGAATTAGCGCGACCGAGTCCGGGTCGGCGGGAACCTCGCGGAAGAATTGCCCTCCGACGACCCCTTTCTTTTACTCTGACGCGCATCCCGCCGCGCTTCCTTGGGGCGAAGCGTGAGCAGGTCTGCAGCCTGCCCAGGTGAAGCCACCCGAAGCTTGGCCCAGAGACCTTCACCCGCCCGCGCAGCCCTTCCAATGCGCACTTATGCGGCGCACGTTCAAGGGGCTTTAGTCCCCCAGCCCGGGCGCCCTGAGGCTGCGGCCCCACAGCCCCTCTCCCCGCCTCCCAGGAAGGCCGTTAGGACGCCCCCCGCCCCCCACAACCACAATAACAAGAAAAGGCAGCAACATCCGGGCGCTTGCGGGAGGCCTTGGAGCGCGCATGCTCCGCCTCGGTCGCTTCTGCTTTGCCACCACCAGCAGTTTAAGGAGACAACAGCGACAGCTATCACAAGGGTGGTGGGGAAAGAGGAAGACGGCGCTGCCACCGCTGTTTCACGGCGCGGTCGCCTTTCTGTGTTGCCAGGCGAGGAGGAGGCGGAGGAGGCGGCTGCGGCTGCCAGCGTAGCCTTTGCAAGGGGATGGTTGTGGGGCGTGTGGCAGCCGGCGGTACCAAACTCCCCGCGAAGCGCTGCTGGTGACGCTCCCGGAGCAGAAGTCGCGCTGAGGGGCAGCGCTGCCGGCGAGGGAGGGCGGCCAGTCGGTCGGCCCGCACAACCACCAGGCGGCGGGAGTTGCAGCTGCGCCGGGGAGAGAGGCGGAGGGCTGTGGTGGGCACCCGGTGGGATGATGGACAGCCGCTTCTGCTTCCCTTAAGTGATGCTGGCAGGGCGGGAGAGGGTGGGAAGTTGAGGCGGTCGTCGCTGTCACTTCTGGGTTCGCCGCCCCACAAGTAGAGGAGGAGGAGGAGGAGGAAGGGGGCAGAGGCAGACACAGGCTCCCTTCGCCGCGCAACAGCAGTAGCAAGGGAGCGGGT